AGCCTAAAAAGCTTGAAAGTAAGAAAATAAAGCAGGGTTTAAATATTATTTTATATATCCATTTGGAAAATCCATTTCTTATCCGTCCCAAGCTCAAAATGGATGAGGCAATCCTGCCAGGTAATATTTTGTACAGATAATGAAATTTATCTAGTACAAGCATGAATGGAACTTGCAAAAGGTACGAATTTATTCATATTAAAAAAGAGAATCTGTAATAGTACTAGTCTACCATATTTTCATTGCTTTTGCAACATTGAATAATTCAAACCCTTCCCTTCAACAACACAAATTGAAAAATAAAATTGCAGGCAAGATAAAGCCAAGCTAAAAAATATTGAGAGGCATTTCTAGCTTTGGCTACCATTTCTCCGGGTACATCTCCTAGCAATCAATGTAACATCAACAATTTCTTTTCCAAAGGCAGCTTGGAAGTTTTGAAAACCTAATTGGCAGTTAAGGGGATGCTTCATATAGAAAGTCGACACTACTAATGAATCAGTTAAGAAGGAATAAGAACTTTCATGCCAAAAATTGCTAAAAGTAATAGTTTCATCAAGGATACTCCCTTGGAAAACTGGAAGCAAAAATGGATCAAGCTGCAATCACAGAACCCAAAAGGAGTTAGCTAGTTCAAATTCAAATGATGTAAATGTGGGCATGAAACTACACAACTACCAAAGGAAAAGGCTCACCTTGTGGTCTATAAGTACTTCCAACATATAACTGTTCCAAAGAAATCTGGGTTCTTCCTATGGAAAGCATTTGGTAACATAAGGAAAAGCCTCTCAGTAATTTAGTGGCAACAAAGAATCACATGGAAATTTTGATGAATATTGAATATTGCACTTACAAAAACTACCATAAAAGCAAACTAACATAAGGAAAAGGCTCATCTAATAATCTCGTAAAATAGAAAACAAAGAGAGTAATACATCTACTAGGTACTTAAAAATTGAGCAATTTACCTGTCTCCAAAGAGGAAGTAATTTAGATTCGTGTCCCAGATCATTTAATCGCTGAGCACTGTTGTGCACAAAATCATATAATGGTTACTTTCAAAAAAAAAATATAAACATTTAAAGAAAATATAACAGCAGGCAAAAATGAAAAAGACTACATAATTGCTAATAATTCCAAAGTGCCTAGCCTATTGATATATATTGGAAGTTTGCAAGCTGTTTGATGACATACTATTGGCCTTCATTAACAATCTAAAATCTTGATGATTATACTGGAACAACTTAGTGGTGATAGTTAACTTTAACATATTAAAGGGCCAGTTTCCTGTTTTGCCTCACAACATGCTATGTTTCTCAAAAATGTTCTCTCTATGTGTCATCTTAAACCTACAGAACAAAGGCATATCTAAAGTCAATCCATTTTCCAGTGTGTCTAAAGGGAATTGCACTTTACCCCTCCTAGGACCACCACATATAAACTTATAGTTAGCAGTTTGCATGTGCGTACATAAGGTTGATATTTATAATGCAGAGATTTCATGTAATTGTAAACTGCTCTGGTAGGAAGTTTCTCTACGAAGATGTCACTGAGAAAGATGCTGGTGTGCACATCAGAACCTTTTTTGCTTGATGTGTGACTGTTTTGAGAAAAAAAATTGTTCTAAGCGTGCATACAAGGCCTGATTTGACAAAGTAATTCACCTCAGCGTTAAATTGGTTCCATAAGAGAAAAAGAGGCCAACAGTCATCTCTGCAACTTTTAGCAGCCCAGAAAATTCACTCTCCACCTTTTTCTGACAAAGTGGCTTAAAAGATTCTTGTGTGAATCAATCAATTCAATTACACTTGCTAGACGAAGTGAGGAAACAATCTGTACCTGTTCTGGAGAAGAGTTTTTAAGCGAATGATCGCATGGAAGAATTCTCATGGATACTACTTTGAAGATGAGATGCCCCAAGTAAGATACAACACATTCATGCTCCGTTATAACAATTAAATATGATCCTAAGCACATAAAATTTAACACATCAAAATGATTGGAGATATGGAAATACCACCGACCTCAATTCTGAGAATACAAGCAATTAACAAAAGTAAAACGAAAACCAATTGTCGTCTCATTTTGAGAGCTGCTAATTGGGAATTGGAAAAATTAACTAAAGAAGGAATATATTGATTAATAGGTTGTGTGTTTAGGTTGTTATGTTTCTGAGTTGGTTGTATTAGTGTAGTTAGTTTGGTGTTCAAGTGTTATGTTGTAACAGAAGTTTTTTAGGATCTGGATATGTATTATTCTTATATTAATAAATTCTTAGGCACTCTTTTCCTACTCTATTTCTATAAAAAAAATTGTCGTCTCATTTGGTTCTTACAGATTTATATGCCCTACTGATCTAATCAGGCACATATTTTCACCGTTCAATTGGGGTCCCCAGCTAATTTTCCGCTATGAATAAACCAAATAAATAAAGGATAATTAAAAAATCAGAAATTCATAGAAACCTATCATACCTGCAACAAGCTTTAGCATTCCAACTACCCCAAAGATGGCCTGAATCTTAGGACCACGAACAGCGCTGCATTCTGGAATAGCATCTATAGAACGAAGAAAAACGTCTAGTAAAACCATCTAACACTTTACTAACCAAAGACCAAAATTGAACCATCGATTAATTGACAAAGAGAAAGCAGAAGAACCATCGGTGGGTTCAATCACATACTCATCAGGGAACTCCCAAAACCGCAGTCTTGTATATAGCTTTTGGCATGACTCTGCCCGCTCCATCATTATTGGAATTCTATTTCACTGCGAAGTCACATTCAACAATAAAAAACACAAGAGAAAGAAATATATCTTAAAGAAACCTTCAATGAATCAACGTAGGAGGAGTTTGTTGAAGTGGGAAATAAATAGCAGGCAGTCAAAGAGGCGAAAAAGCAAAGGGTACCTGACAAAATACGAATAAGGCAAGATTCTATGTAGAGAGTGAGATATATGTTTACTGGTAGAAAACAACAAAAGCGAGAAAAAGAATATTACGGGGGAATTACAAGACGAATATTTGAGATGACACATAATGAAAAGTGTATTCCGTGTTTGTTAAATTTTTTAGATTATGATTATTAAATATGACACACATTATTGTAAGTTATAAATCGTTCAGATTTTAAGAAACATGATATTTTTATGACATATTTTTTACAAGTCATAAATTAGCGTGTGTCATCGTTCGTGTTTCATTAAAGGTTTTTTCTTATAGTGTATTATGATGAGTTTTCAACTTTTCCTAACAATAGGAAAATTATCTCAAGTATCTCATGAAGAGATTTCAATACAACTCTTTTAGATAGAAAATCTCTATTTAGAAAAATTACTCAAAGAGATTTAATAGTTACAATCAATCTTTAGTAGTAGTAATTTCTATCATATTCTCTTTCATATTATTCAACATGTTATCCTAAAGAGATCATTACATATTTACTATGATCAAATTCAGTATTCTATTCAACCAAATTAATCACTATTCTTTTAACTTATACATTAAATTTAAAGATAGATTAACTTGTCGTAGTATTTTATAAATTAGAATAGTGAGTATAGTAATCAACAATGGATCATGTAGATTTCTCTAAAAGATAGGTGGTGTATTAGGCATGCTTAAGTAATAGGTCTTCGTAGAACCAATCCTAACATGCACTTTCATATTCTCCATACTACTTTCCAATAAATCATTTATTAATTTTCTCTTTCTTAAGGCCTCTTAAATAATTATGCTTGATACTTATACTCACAACAGTGTCATTACTACGCATACACATTTTGTGCTCACTATTGTCTTAGTTTTAGTCTTAGTCCTTATACTAGTGGTTTATCTCAATTCATAATATATCCGCTAAGTTTAAAAGACTAACACTATAGCAAAATGGGTTTATAGTAGCATTTTTAGCGGCGTTTTTTGAACAAACGCCTGTAACTTTATTGTTATCGCAGAATTTTTAGAACAAACGCCACAAAATAACAAATTTTGCGGAGTTTAAAGCAAAAATGCCGCTAAATATTCATACTTTAGTGGCGTTTTTATACAAACACCGCTATAAACTCATACTTTAATGATGTCTTTATACAAACACCACTAACGACTTGTATTTTAGTGGCTTTTTTATACAATCGCCGTAATAAGATACATATATAATGGAGTTTTTGAAAAAATGTCGTAAGAGATTCATACTATAATGGCCTTTTTTGAATAAACGCCATAATTTATCAATACATACAAACGCCACTAAAGACTCGTATTTTAGTGGCGTTTTTATACAAACGTCGCTATAGACTTATACTTTAGTAGCGTTTTTATACAAACATCGCTATAAACTCATACTTTAGTGGCATTTTTATACAAACGCCGCTAAAGACTCGTACTTTAGTGGCATTTTTATACAAACGCCGCTAAATACTCATACTTTAGTGGCGTTTGTTTACAAACGCCGCAAGTTTACAATTTCTAAGTCCCGTGCCCCTTTAACCTTTTTTCATTTTTTCCCTTTCACCTATTTTTCATTCTTGCCGTTTACCAAACACATCTGCTGCTTCTTCGCCGATCTCACTTTCTCTTCGCTGAAACTGCTTAAGGCCATGTCTCCATCATAATATATATGTTATTTATATGCCTTTACTTATGTCTGGTTTTATGGCTTGTTGAGTTGATTTTAAATTGTGTTCTTTTGTTGCGTATGAGCACTGGATAATTCATTGATACAAAATTGCTTACTAGATCTTAGTTTCCTCTTATTTTTCAGTGATTCTAGATAACTGGATTTTGTAATATAGCTCCAACCTTCTCTGCTTCTTTAAGAGTTAGGTTTTTAAACTTTAATTCATTGTTTATTTTGCAGGGAGATTTACGAGCTTATTTGAAAGGAAAAAGGAGCATTGCAACCAATAATAGCTCTGCGGCTTGCACTAGATATTACAAGGTTTGTTACGATATTATTGTAGTTTGGACTTGATACACTATTGCTTTGGTTATAAATAAAGATTGTCAGAAGAGAATCGATTGAGGTTCCTTCACTGGGATCTATACAAACATTCTCGGTGGTACGCCATAAGCTTGTTATTTCGTCCCCAAACTAATGCACATTATTCCTTATTTACCCATCTATCTATTCCTCTTTTCTCTTTGGTGTTGATTCATTTTTATTTTTGTAGTTTGATTCCTCACTAGAAGTTAAAAACTTCCATTTTTTCTCTTCCAGCAAAGCAACAAATGTTTTGCAACTTTTGGGCAAAGTGGCTGCGTATGCATTAATGCTAGCAGGTTTCTTTTATTGTCGAGTGACTTCAACCTTGAGACCTGAGGAGTGCATGGCTTGGTCTTCCTTTGAGTACGTTTTTCACCTTTAGTAACTTTTAGTTTTGTATATGAAAACTTTGTAAATATGACATTTTTACAATTCATAGTATTGAATGTTGTCTAGATACCCAAAGCAATCTCACTCATCAGTAGGCATTTTGAATTTGCAACATGTTAGACTTTTGCATTAGGTTGATACTTGGCTTTATTAATTATGGATATCTATATATCTATTAATGTAATATGACAGGACTTTAATGATTCCATGTTATAAATATTTAATATCTATGTTTTGTATCTACTAAAATTTGAAAATGGCATTTTTTGTTTTCTAACGAAGATAAAGGAACTTCAATGAGATTGACATGTCACCCTAGAGATATCACAACAATGTTACTGATGATGCTTACAAGTTGGAGAGGAAATGTTATGGATATAGTAATGTCATTAACGAAAATCATTATCTCAAGCCTCCAACATTCCAAAGAGGTGTGCTTGGGACCAATTGTATTGATTGTCTGGATCGCACAAATGTTGCATAATATGCATATTGATTGGCTGCTCTAGTACACCAGCTTCATGCTATAGGGATTAGAGATACCCCAAAAATAAATCCTAATGATCCATTGTGATGTAAGGTACTCCTACCTTAAATTGATTGTGGATCTAGGAAGGAAGCAAAACAACCTACATAAGTGAAAGGATCGAATAGATGGCATGGTGGTTGATGTAATGGTGAAATGGAGGACTATTTATGTTATGAGAAATGGTAGTGGAAATATGCTGATATGGCTATGGTATGGGTGATGAAACAAAGGATGGTTCTTGAGGATAATATCTTAGAAAGACCAAGGAAGAACTAGTGCTACAATGAGCAAAGAACCAACCTTACAAATCTTTCTAAGGGGTGGTAACAAAAGACTTGGACCCAATGTCTATAGGGAGATAGGAACCATAAGTATCAATGAAAAAGGGGTTGACGCCACTAGTAATTAAATTAATTGATAAGTCGATAAAAGTCACAAGGACTTGAGAAAAGAGAATAATCTCACTTATATTAAACGAAAGGTGTGTTTACAAAATGAATAGGACTAGCCTATTTATAGTTTTCAAAGGGTTTAGGCCGAATAGATACATGATGGTTTGGCTAAGGTTGAAATGCCTTTGAAAATACATGAATTTGAATGAAAATACATGACTTTAATGAACATACATGCTCTTGGACGAATGGTAAGGTGTTGGTTCGGCCCTAAGGATGTTTTGAATGCATTTGGAAGTTATTTTGCACCAAAAATGAAGAGGAATGAGCCTTTTACCGAATAGAAGCTTCCTTGGTGTTTTGGCACCTATTTGATGTCACATGGAATGCACATGCTTGAATGATGCACATGGCATCCTACTTGAACGCACATGGGTCTTCTTGCAATACTTTGGTGAGGTTGCAACCATAGGATGATGTCTTGAAGTCCTTGGGCAGCCTAGAGATGAACTAGCTTCAAGGTAAGCTAGGTGAGTGTCTTGGTAGCTAACTAGGTGAGTTATAGCTTGATGAACTCAAGCTAGTTAGCTTTGGTATTCTCAGCTCCTCAGCTACTTCCAGCTACCTTTAGTCCATTTTTCAGTAATTTGGTCCAAAGTTCTCCTCTAGCTAAGTTCAGTTACATGCTAGCTCCTCCAGCTATGTTGAAGCTCCTTAAGTGATGAAATGAGCTTCCATAACGTTCATGAGCTAGTGTGAGGTGCAATGCTTGTCCTTTTAGCTAACCAAGCTACCATAATATGACTTGCTTTGTGTTTCATCTATAGGAATCAACAAATAAATAAAGTAAGCAATATGTGAGTTCATTTAAGGTAAAATGCATGCTGCCGTGAGGTGTTTGAGTGATATGAGCTATGAATGATTGTCTATAAGCTAAGATAATTTGTATATAAACTAGATATAAGGAATAAGACGTTTATGACCTTTAAGAAAACATATATGAGCTATAAAAGAGATGTATACATGAAAATGAGCTAAAGAAACATGGATTTAAAGCTAGTGAGCTAATGTAAACATAACATGAGCTAGAATAGCATGACATGAGTTAATGAATGAATGAATGAATACATGCTTCCATGATATGTAAATGATATGTAAACATAATAAATGAAATTAAAACATATTTAGAACATAATATAAATCTAAGTAAAGATGTGGAAACATATGTTATGCATGAAAATCATATAGTATGCAAATGAATGATAACATATGATTATTCAAGCATAGTTTAAGGAGCAAAAACATGCTTATAACACTAAGTGATGCATATAGAAGATAATAAAGGATAAAGTAAGAAGAACTCCCTTAGAATTAGCTTTGAATAACATCCATGGTGTGATCAAGTCATGGAGAAAGTTAGAGCTAGTTTGGATCGTATCACATTGGCAGATAATTTAATAATCCAATATGGTGGTTCTGCATCTCACAATAAAGTATTCCAATTTGTGATTATAATATTTTTTCTATGAGAAATAAATGACGAGGGTAATATTTGTTACTTAAGATTAATTCTTGTAACATGCTTCAGCTGCATGTTAAAATTTAGTTATAAATTATAAATACAAACGTCTCGGTTAGTTAATTTTTTGTTCTTTTATACCATGCAGATATTCTCTGAGAGAAGGGGTTAGTGGAGAGCAGCAACCCAATCATAGGAGTTCTTTAGAACACTTCAACGATACTATAGCAATGCATATATGGATGCTGAGAAGCAAGATGCAATTTATCTGTAAGTTTCAGTATTATGTGTATATTACTTCCAGGGTGAAATTGATGTCTCTTTCACTTTGACACCAAATGGTCTTAAAGAATGTTGCTCTACAACCTTTATGCATATAGGTAGTTGGCCTTTTCTGGGTTTAATACATCCATGATCCGACTTCAATGGAATAAATGACTCATATATTTTATTTGGAGTTCAGTAAATTTGACATTTCTTGTAACTATCTTTAGTTCATTTCTTACATATGTTATTGTTAATATCTTGAGCAATTCTTTTAATAATTCTTTGTGCAGATTCCTTGGTCATTTCCAGCCCCAGACTGGTAAACCTGCTCTTTGGGAGTTGGGTTCAGACCAACATTATAGGGGAAGAAACGGGGAAACCATTATGGATGAAGATAGAAGGTAGTTTCCAAGTAAAACCTTGAGCTTCATCCCTGAGCCATGAAGTAGTGACTACAATATCCTCTATTCTTTATTCTTGGGAACCACATATCTAATAATATGCTTCCTACAATTTCTTGTTTTGAATTTTGAATACCGCTTGATGTAGGTTGAATATACACGCTTTGATGGAAGTGAGTAGATAACCTTATTGTGTCCCGATCTAGGATTGACAAGTACTGATGTCCTTGAATTATAAGTTTGGACTGCAACAAAAATAAGAAAGAAATATGATTAATGATGGACTTAAGAAATGGTTATATAAAGAAAGTAATGAAATGGAAAGAAATGAAAGAGATGGCTGCGGAATTAGGAAGATGTTGATGGTTTTGATAGATGATGTTGATGGTGTTGATGTTGAAATAGAGATGGTGGTGATGTTATATCTCAAGCATGCGAAAGAAGAAACTATGTTAGGAAGAACAATCCTGATCTTCACAAACTTGCTTGAGGGGTGATGAAAGTGTCTTCAACCCACTAGATAAAAATCTAGGAATTTAGGAATCAAGGTGGAAGGATTAACGCTACAAGTACAAGAAATTATACTTGCTTAATTGATAAAGTTCACAAAGAACTTTGAAGAGAGACTAAACTCAAAAAGGTTTGTTTATAATATGAATGAGATGAGTAGAAATGATGGCAAGCCTCTCAATTTATAGGAAATGAGAGGGCTTGACCGAATGGTTACATAGTGTTTCGGCTAGGTACATGTCTCTTAATGAAAATACATAATTAATTGAATGAAGAGATATGTCCTAAAGCTTGGTGTTGGTTCGGCTAACCCTTCATAAAGGGGCTTGATGTTTCGGTAAAGGTGGGAATACATCTTCCTCGGCCGAATGTGGTATGTTGGTTCATCTTGGTGCCAATGTCATCTCTCTTGGCCGAATGATGATGTGCCTCCTCAAGCTGGCGCCAAAGCTCTCATGTTCAAGGCATGTGGTGTGGCTAAATAGTTATGGAGCTTCATCTCATGTCTCTTGGTGATTTAAGCCTCCAATGGATACAATCTCTTCACCAACGTGCTCCTTGATGAAAGGGCATCTTCATGGGTAACATCACTCATGAAAGGTCACAATGTTAGGGAAGGTAAGCTTTCATGTTTTAGCTAGTTCTAAGGTGAATGAGCTGGAGGTGAGCTGGCCATAGGTGAGTTGTAGCATGGTGATCATTATGGCAGTTCTTTGTGAAAAGGTACCTCTTGAGGTGGTAACTATTCACGAAAAGGTACGATTTCACAAATTTTAACTTAGGACATATTTGAAGTATCCTAAGTGGTGATGATAATGGTGCAGCTCCCCAGCTGAATTGAAGTCATCTTGTAGCTTAAATCATCAGCTCAATCCAGCTATAAGCTCACGGGTCTCCAGACAACTTCTCACCAATTATTCCTCATGCACTCCTAAATGTCCCCATGTAAGTTTCCTTGCCTTTGTTTTCTCTGTTTAGCTCCAATATAGCTCCCAAGTTGTGGCCGAATATACCTACACACATAACATAAAGAAATAAGTTAAGTATATGAACTTATATAATGTATATAAGATAGAAATGTGTACTATAGTATATATAATAAAAACTTATATCTCACATAGTAATGAATAAGTTATCATTATGACTATATATGTAATATATGTATATGAATATAACTATGTTATAGCATATGAAATAGGCATTATTATGTGTAAAGATAGAAAGTTTCTTCCCTTGAAAGGTTGGAATAGCCAAGTTAAATACGATGCTTAATTAGATCATATCATCCTCCCCTTCTTTTAATTGATTTGTGCTCAAATCGAAAGGCTTTCTTTTCCTAATGTCCTTCCATTCAATAAGTACCTTTTTGAAAAGGTTCATGTCATTTGAATGAATACTTTGAAAGTCCATTATTTGAAAAGAAAGAAAACTTTCATAAGAAAAAAATGTTATCAAACATAATTAAAGTTAAAGTATAGTCCCTGTTGGATGGATGTTCAAAGTTCATGTTTGTTAAAGACATTTTGCCTTGAACGTTTATATCCTTTGGCATCCCTAAAATCATGTCCTTTGGTTTTTCAATAGATTTATGCATTGAATCATGAAAGATTATGACTATTGGGATGAAGATGTCCTTAGAATACTCATAAGTCACGCCCTTTGGATGAAGAATTGCCTCCCTTTTGCTTTTCATTAGGCGCACCTCTTGATTCTTGAAAGGTCACGTCCTTTAGCCTCATAAATTGATAAGTTGTGTTTCTTGGAACAT